CTGCGGGGATGTGTGGGCTGTGGCTGGAGCAGACAGGCTGAGGACATGGGTAAGACCCATATCTTCCTCATGAAGATTCCATAATGTAGCTGCCACGATGCTGGTGCAAGGTGGGAAGGTGTCCCTGTCCTGAGGGCTCCACACCAGCCCGGTGCCTGCAGCAGAGGTGAGGTTGGGTTATTTTTGGTCCAGTGGTGGGGTGACAGCAGGGCAGTGCCACTGGGGGAAAGGTGTCTGCTTCTCAGCTCCACTTCTCCAGGCACAAATATTGAATAAAAGGAAGTTCTCTCCCCTGATGTTTTCTGATCCCTGTGCCCCGGTGAGCACATTCCTGTGGTGGGAGCTGGTTGGCATCTGCCACAGCTGGCACCTCGCCCCTGAGCTCCTGCCTGTTTGTGTTTTGAGCTGCTTGCTGGCAGGGTCTGGTCTTCCCACACCAGGTTTTGCAGCCTTTGACTGGCCAGCAAATGTCCAGTGATCCTCAAAAGCTCACCTGGGTCCTGCTCGTGGGTGGCTCACGGTCTGGCAGTGACAATGGCAGCAGTGTTAGTGTCCCCTCTGCTGTGGGGGGACACCACAGGGCTGGGTCCCATCCAGCCCCCTGCTTCTTGCAGGTTCCCTGCGAGGACATTGCAGGGGAGGCAGGATTCTCCTGCCATCCTCTCTTTCTTAATTGATTAACAGTTCTGCAAACATTCCTGGTGCCTGGTGATGTGCAGATGCTGAGCTCCCCTCAACTCCTTCGTGGAGGTGTTGTGGGCTGAGCAAATAAACACACTTTTGGAAACAGTATAAATATAGATTTGAGGTGTTTTTTGGTGCTGCAGGTCAGAACTGTTTTGATAAAACATTGGAGATGGTATTTTCTGTGTTTGATCTTTATTTTTGTTAGGACTGACAATTCTGGCATATCAAGGCAGCTGCACATGCTGTACTACTCCCTGTTAAAATAATTCTATTGCTCATTTAAACCTGAGTCTGTAGGTTTGAAGAGGACACAGATCTGGTTTTGTAT